AGCAGTTGAATGAAACTGCTTCAGAACAGCGTCCGGACTGCTGTGAGCATCCCGTACGTTGCTGGAGAGCCCTACCCTCAGAACTGGGCTTTGCTGTCACTCACCTACGAATCGGGGGTTACACACTGAAGTGAATGAACTCGCCTGGTTGATAAAACAGACAACTTGTGGCACTCGTGAGGGTCAGGGAATTTGGTGACAGGGAGGTTGAGCCAACGTGGGTGGCTTCCAAGTGTAGAAGCGGAGCCTGGGAGGACCCAGGCACACTTCATCCTTTGTAGCAGCTCTGCTCTTTGCACCTTTTATTCTCTGGGTTGCCAGTGCCTGCTCCGTGGTCCACACCAGGGAAATCCGCAGGGTAAGGAACATTCCTTCACAATACAAGGAGAGTACAGTGGGCGACTGCACGTGTGTGGCTTTGTATTTAGTCACTATATCTGGAAGCCTAATCTTGCATACTCCTGCCTTAAAGATTTTCTATACAAAACACTGCTATTGATCCAAAGAAAACAATGTAAAACCGATTATATTTTAACTGGGCCGATCAAACATCCCCTAATCAGTTTTCATATCTTATAGCAATTCAGCCCAAGGTTATTCCTCACTAGTCTGGCCTAAATCCACATGCAGCACTCTGAAGTCAGCTTCCCTGTGACAGTGTAAAAGTTCCCATACAAAACATTTCATATTCATTAGTTTTGCCAAACATGTAGGTAAAAAGCATCAAGTTAGTATGTATTGGAATAGGGAGATTCTGCAGTAGTTGGCAACACTCTCAAAATTAAGAAACTTATATTTTTAAATTAATTTTTACGCTGGATTTTTGCCTCCAAACTACAACATCCATGAAATTACAACTGGCCCATTTGCTCTTTCACCTTCAGTTGTCTCAGTTTTCTTCCATCCTGTAATCACTTCAACAAAGATTATAATGTTACTGGCAAGAAGACTTTGAAATTCAGTTTAGAGACTGTGAGTGACCAAATGGGAACAGTTTTTATGGTGCATGTAATAATGAATGAGAACTCCAATATACTCTGCAGCTGTGACTCATCTGATTCTCTTTCAAGCAAATTTAATTAATATAATAAAGAAGTTCTTGGTAGTTTTACCGTAATGGACACAGTGTGCACAGTTTTGTGCCAAAAGAAGGCACAATCTTATCTTTGTGGTTTTTACCTTCAGGGGGACTCATCTTGAGTCATGTCCTAAAAAGGGAAGGAGTAGCTGGTAGTTTTCACATTCTAGAAAGCAAGACAAGTCTAAGATGTGGAAGAAAGTACTGATGAACTAGCTTTGGCTACCAGTTGTATTGCTGCAATGACAAGTTGCCTTGCTGTCACGTTTGTTCAGTATGTGGAAAAATCTGGTTTCTCACAGGCTGCATTTCACGACAAATGTAAAATGTTATCAATATTACACAGATAGGGGCCTAACTTTGCTTTTCTTTTACTCTAAAATACAGAAAGGTCGCGATCACCATGAATTATAAGCCATTCTTTCAGTTTCCACTTATTTTAGATAGTCCTTTGTCCAGCAAAGTTTCATAGTATCTCTCTGGCTTTGAGCACCAGGTTCCTCAGTGAGCAGCACTGTTTGCGTACGTGTTCCTATAAGTAGACACTTTGCTTTGCTGTCTGCTCGTTTGTTTACTGAATTATGTATAGTTACCCTTTAACCCTGCAAGTAAAGGCAAATTTAAGCTCAAAAAAGTTGATACCTGGTTATTCTGTGAGTTTTTAGCATTTTTTTCATGGTATCCTGTTTTCTGGAAAGGAAAAGTAGCACATATAGTAAGAATTCAGGCAGGCAAGGAGGTTAATTGTTTTCTTTTTTAAACCTTCATCAATTCTTTACTCCTGTTAACTGGATTTTTTCTACCATAGGTCTGAACAGTTGGCAGCACGTTACGTTCCATCATACTGACGAGTTCTGCTGCTCCCTTACAGTGTCTGACAGACCACTGTGGATTCAGACTGGGGGCACTGCAGTTATCAGTGCAGTTGGCAGGTCTGTCTGGTTTAAGCCCTGCCTCAAGTGAAGGGTGCACTAAGCTATCAACTAATCATATGCAGAGTGGGTTAGGACAGAAGTAATGAGGTACCTGCTATTTTGTTTCCTTCTTCTATTTGAACACTTTAGATAAGAGCTGTTCTCCCTGACCTAACCTAGTGCCAGTATTGATACATATTTTACTGAAAAGATCCACACTAAGTTTCTCTTTAGGCTGGCGTCTTGAAGTTTGTATTAGATGATCAGATAACTTGACAGGTATAATGTAAAGGTTAAAAAACCATATTTTTGTCTAGTAAACCTCAAACATTTTTGTGATTGTAGGCGTGGCTTCCTGCCTTTGATTCTGTGTAAAAGGTAAATCAGGAAGGAAGCTGGTAATATTTCAGTCTTTTTAAAGAAGCTTAACACCTAGAACAGGAAAAGAAATGAAAACACAATGAGGAAAATTTTGATGAGAAACTCACAGATGACACATGGACTGGGGTTAGGGAGCCCTTTTGTTTTGTTTTGCTTTTGTTTTTTTCCCATTCTGAAGCCTTGATTTAAAGGAGTAACATTTAAGAAGCAGGCTTAACTTTCAGTGCATGCCTAAGTCTGGAAGGAGATTTAAAGTACATGTGTAAAGCCACACAGATACTGAACATTTATTGGGCATTCTAGCCCAAATATGTATTACTGCTTAGGTCTGTCATAGACGTACGCATGTTTCTTGTACCTTTTTTCGACACGGAGAGGAAATAAGGCAGTGAGAAGAACATACTGGCTGTAAAGGGAACTTGATTTACATGAAGAAGTCATCATTTTTAATTTATGAACATGTTTGATCCAGTACGATGTTACTACATTAGATCTGGAATTAGATATTTGGTATCCATGGGTTTCAGTTTTTATAAACTGAGATTTGCTGCGGGTAAAACAGAAGTTGGGACTGTAATAGAGGTTAAGACCAGTAATGGTTCTGGAGTCACTAGTGATGGTGTGTAAATGTTAGTGGGGAAGCGAAGCTCCTGGTGCTTGCTAAGGGCATTCTGGAATCTCAGCAGTAAGAACAAAAGAGTAAAAAAGCTGTAGGAACTGACTTTTGCAGGAACACAAGTGCCAGGTTTGTAATGAACAGAATTTGACTGAAAATCACTGCAACTGCATCGTTTGCTAAGTTGGTAGGTGAGGTGTGAAAAGAGAAGCTGTGTGCCATCAGAATGAGGGAACAGCTGTGTTACTGTGGCCTGGCCCTTTCCTTAGGCCTGGGAGTACTTGCATGCCTGCTCACATAACTGAAACAAATTCTTGTCTTGTTTCTTCTTTTGTAGATCACAGAAGTTTGCTGGCTAGTAATAGTGTCACTGAAGCTTGAATTTAGCAGTGGGGCTGTTGGGATATACTGGCTGAGCTGTCATCCAACTTTTTATGGGATTTTTGGTATATCTTAGTAGAGTCTAATTCTCTAACACAGTGTAAAATCTTCTCTTTGCAAGACTTTGTGGATAAATGACGCTATTTTAATATCAATCTTATTTTGAAGAATTTCTTATTGGTCCTGTGTTTTATTATGCAGTATTGGTTGTTTTGCAGCCTGGAATACTGTGGTGTTTAGTCACCTACACCAACAGTAAGTACTATTGAACACAGTGGAACTTTGCCTAGGAGCCTTCTCTTTGTAGAGGCTCTGCAGGTTTATCTCATGCATCTCGGAGAGGATCATAGCTCAATTTTTAGGTTTAATTATAGGTCAGTTCTGAATATCATACTCAAATGAGGACCTGCTGGGTATGGGAATGAATGGCTGCTAGTCTACTGTCAGCATATAGCAGCTCAGTGCATCTTTGCCTGGATCTGTTAAATTTCATAATTAGTCTTTGTTGCTTCTGTTTCAACTTTACCAAAATTTTGTTCCTAGTTGAGTTCTACTGCATTGTATAGGATATAAAATTAATTATTTTTCTGTGTTTTATGTTATTCTTTTGTGGCACAGTGAGCAGCTGAGCAATTGAGAAACTCCATAGTCATCCCCTTGGTCTCCCTTGCCTCCTCTTGTGGTAGGACCATTTTCACAAACTTCTCTCTCCTACTTCTCTTTTTTTTAAAATTTCTTTTAGATATTATTCAGAAGAGTTCTCTGTTTAGAAAGAACTTTAGGATTTCCCTGCCCTTGCTGTGAGTCTCTTTTGCAAAACTCAGTTTCATTATTCACAGTGTTGTTGGCAGTACTGCAGAATGTGTATGTCCCTCTCAAATAGCTGTCAGAGGCTCAACAGGATGGTGAAAGGAATGAGCAAGACTGGCCTGGTCCTGTTGGAACCTTTTGTTATTCTTCTGTGTGTTTTGAGCAAAGGGGTTGGGGCAGATGATGTCCAGAGGTCTCCTCCCATGTGGGTTGTTCTAGAACAGTGTGTTCTCCACGCTACACAGGAGGCAAGTCAATGCAGGCTGTGCTGATTCTGCACTGCCCTGAACAGTTACTGACTGGTGGTGGTCTCATGCAGTAGTTATTACTTGGACTGCTTCTATCTTGCTTTATCATGTTATTCTAGATCTGTGGATGAAATGGGAAAACATAAATAATAATGGAAAAGAAGCACAATTAGCAGGTTTATACTTCAGTGCTCCCATGCACACATAGGTCTGCTTTTGAGATTACGCTGGTGTGAGATTTAGCTTTGTATTGTGAACTACACGTCATTGTCTAGACTGTATATTAATCTCCTTCATTTAAATGTCTTCAAAAATTGAAATTCTCTCTGGATGCTGAAACGGGGTGAGATACAACATAGATTGGTATGGTAGCTCCTCTTAAAACTCAGTCAACTGAGGAGTTGTTCACTTGTGTATGTCTTGTGATAATGTAAATTTTTGTTTTCTTCTGCACACAATGCACAAAGCAGGTGAACTGATAACTTTTCTGGCTACCTCAGATTTTGCTTACCTACTTTTGCAATATATACTGGAAGGCATTTAACCATTTTCCCTTTCTCTCCCCTTTTCAGCTCAGAGACACTAGTCAACTGCTGTTTTTATGGAACCTCACTACACTGCCACGAAGAGCACCAGCTCATCAGGACTGAAAGAAATCTGAGACTGTATTGTCCTATTTTTCCTCTGAAATCTTCACCAAGTAGTAAACGTTTTTTGAAGGGAAAAGGGGGTAAATATGTTAAAGCTCCCCCTTGCACCCTGTTAGGGCACCTGTACCTAATGTACATTTTCTTTAAAATTTAAAAAGATGTTAGGAAATATTTTATAAAACTTTTTTGCAATAAATGACGCATGAAATTATTAAAGACTCTATGACACTTACATGCAAGGAACCACTTGAATTATTGGTATGAAGAATCACTGCAAATAACTGGGTTTTTTTTGTAATGTGACAGTCATGTTTGTATGTTTTGATAGGTGCCAGTGATGGAGCCAATTGCCTGGGAAGTTGACTGTAACTTTTTGAACTTTTATTTTAATTCTTAACTTTAGCATTGCAATTTTCCATTCTATGAGGCTTAGTTAGTATATAGTGCAGGTGTTAGCAGAGCTGTGATCTGTGATCAAAAGCATGTCCAAAACCAATTGTATTGTAAAATATGAACAGTCCTGCTATATGAGACCAATATTTCCCATAGAGGTGATGGAAAGGACAGTGACCACAAACTCTGTGTATCTCTGTATTATGGGAAAGCTCCTTCTGTGTGAATATGGTTGCATTTTATTTATGCTATTGTAACACTTAGGGAATTGAGGATTGTGGAATAACGTTAAGAGGGGCTACAGCGCAGAGAGCAGCATTTTGCTTATAATACTATAACAAGATGGGAATCATGAATGGAGAGTGATTAAATGGAATGGCATTTCTATTTCAAATCATGGGTTAATTTTTTCCTTTTGACATAAATATTTTTCCAATAGTAACTAGTAGAGCAAAGGTTTTATTAGAGTTTCTGATGGTTGATGATCTGAGTTGCATTGACTTCTTTGAATAGCTGTAAATCAAAAAAAAAAAAAAACCCAGTGGGTTTTATCCATTTTATTCCCTCCCTCCCAAAGGTGTTTGGTAAGACTTATTTCAGTGGACCTTGTGAATGCTGGACACGCTGCTGAAATATTGAGTTACTAAATATTAATTTATTTGTCACTAATTGTTTGACATTGTGTGCACACTCTCTCAACAGTATAATTTCTTACAAAGTTCTTAGCAGGAGATTTATTATATAACCTGGGAAAAGAAATACCTGTTTTGAAGAAATGAGAATGTGCACATAATCACCTAAAAGTCAAATTTTTGTCTCTATAGAAGTGAAAAGACTTGTAGTAAACTCTTTTCCTCCTTACTAATATCTATCAGCAGAAAGGTGGTTTCACAGCCTCTGTGTATGGAGCCTGAATTAACCACACAGAATTCAAAGTCAGGACAATTTTGATAAACTGTAGTTTGGCTTTGATATTGGTAACAGGTTTATACTTGTTAAACAATCGGGGATGGGAGAAGTGAGAGGCTGGGACAGGCATCCAAATCCAGGATAGGCCTATCAGTGAGATACTCAGGCAGTTCATGCTTCGTGCTGGTTCAGTTTCTATTTTTCAGAGGTAAATTCTGTATTTATAAAGCCAGAAATGGAATAATTACTGCCTATTTCTTAAAAAATGTCTAATGCTGTACAGTAGGTTCAAGCTGAACCATTTTTCATAATGAACAACAAATATTTTTTTTAAATTTGAGAATAATGTTTATTCTGTGGTGCTTTTCCTTTTCACCAGCTCAAGAGGATCAACAGTCTGGTCCTTTTTGTGGCCTGACATTTGATGACAACTTGGAAAAGATTAAGATGTCTGATTTGAAGAAAGATATGATGTTGTGTATGTGCTAGCCTTTCACCTCTGGAGCCCAAACCCCGATTGCATTGGCAACGAATGAGAATCTTGGCTTAATAAATTACACTTCTACCCCCCAAAAAACACAAGAAAACCAAACAAAAAAGAAGCCACCAAACAACATGGCACAAACCAGTTTCTGCTCAGGAAAAAGGCCCAGGTCTGTAATAGCAGGGTTATTGCACATTGGATTGAAAACTGATTGATGTTGTAAGTAGAAGCCAGTAGTGCCTGCCTGTGTGACATCTGACTGAACCAGTGCTCTTCTTTCCTCACCGTCATGAGCACTTGTGCACAGCAGCTGAAATAGGAAAAATATGCTTAAGAGAGATGCAGGTCTCTGCATTGGAGAATATGGGTATATAAGCAAATAGCATAAAAATAGACAAGGTAGCTAACTGTCTTTGCGTTTATTTTCACAGAAAGTATTGCAGCCATTTTGTTTGAAACCAGATTTTCATTTTGAAATGAAATTGTCAGGGATATTCTAATGATAGAGAATTACAGTAATGTATTGCTTTTCACTTCTTTGCTTTAGTTGCTTAATATTTAAGCTTTGCTCCGTGCTACCTTCTTGTCTGTATATTGAATGGTCACTATGCCTCTTTCATTTTGTAGACTTGAATGAGGAAAATATGATTCACCCTTTAAGGTTTGCTGAGAAGTAAATGATAAAGAATGTTGTGTAACATTTATTCAAATAAAGCCTTGATTTTTTTCAGTGCTCTTTTAAAGGAAAATAATGCTGAATAATGTTTTGATGTCTTAACTTCCTTGTTTTATTAGTCCTTGACCCAAAAGCCTTTGATTTATGGTAATTTTTTTTTTTTTTTTTTTTTTTAATTAACAATTAAACAGAGGTTACTAGTCCACAGCTGGAAGTCTGTGGACAGGCCTCAGGCCTCTATCCAACCTTACCTTTCACCACAGTGGCTCAAAGACACCAAATCATGCTCAAACAGTTGGATGCTTCCCACAAGCAATAGGAAAAAACTTTTCTTTTTCTTGTGTAAGTATCAAGAAACCGTTACGTATACGTTGTACAGACAGATACAAAGAAGCCCTGATGGCTTTGTCCATGGCTGCGACTGAGGCACCCTGAGACTTGGCTGAAGGAGGAAGGTGGGTGTCCCCAGAGGAGGCTGGAGCCCCTTGCAGCCGCGCTGCGGGCGCAGGGGGTGAGCGCACCGGGCGAGTTGCAGAGTGGGGGCCAGCTCGGGGTCCCCCTGGCTCTGCCGGGCTCAGCTCGGGGCCCCCCAGCCAGCAGACGAGCTCCGTGCTGCCGCAGCAGCGTGAGGCCACAGACAAAGACCGTGCTGGGCCTTTGGACAGCTGTGCCACCTGCTCGCCTTGGCGTGGGCTGGGTTTTGCTGCAATAACTGTTTCAGACAAGCCTGTCAGTTGCAGGTAAGTGTAACTGGGTGTTGAGTTGCGTTGCCTTGCTCTGGTGCCCTGTAGGAGAGGGAGCGAGCTGTGCTGTCACCGTGGTCAGAGGAGGGCCACGTTGGCAAGTATTTCTTCAAATAGCAGAATCTGCAGAATTGTGGCCTCCCATTAAATAGAAGTTAGCATTTATATGGATTTTTTCCCCCACTTGCATTCTTATTACTGTAAAGAAAAGGTATCCTAATTTTAGTTAAGTTCCTAAGGTAAACAAAAAACCAGCTGCTCAGGTAAACTTGATTTCTAGAAAGCTCTTATTTCAAGGAAGCATTAATTTTTTAATGGTGCATGGTATGCAAGGAGCTAGTCGGTGATACAGAGTTACTAAACCTTTTGTAAGGAAGGTGTTTTGTTGCAGTGACCTGTTGTTGACAGTCAGAAGTCCTTCCCAAAAACTGAGTTAACTTCTGGAGTGATCATGTGCACATACATTGTCTGTAGCAATTGTTGTTTTGGCCCTGGCCCTCTGATGCTTTTGAAACCAGTTGGTGCCTCCTGTAACTGTCCACATCTGTCTGTTGTTTCGAGCAGAGCATGTGTTTTTCTTCTCCTTCAAGGGTTTGTTTCTTATTCTGTTGGGATTACAGGAACTCCCATCCTCTTTTCTCTCCTTATTCATTCATTTTCACAGCAGCTCCTCCAGAATTGGTTATCCTCATTAGGCTGTGGTGGAGTTAATTGCTCACTAATGGCTTTATCCTTTGTGACATTGTGTTGGTAGCGTCTCGCTGTGAGAGTCTGCTGGATTTGCTTCCTGACTGGGAAGCCCACAAGACATGTTAGCCAGACAGATTTCAGAGTTCTGCAATTACTCCATTGATTAATCGTCACTCTAGTAGTTCAGTGACAAAAGTATAGAAGTAACACAACCTTCAGCGATGAAGCCAGTCCTACACAATGCTGCTCAGTAATAGTGTTTACTGCTGCCCTGAAGCATCAAAAGGGTGATACTTAATGAGGGCAAAAGTGCATGGAGCAGCTGCTCGGAGCAGCTCCTGGCACAGGAGGGTTTTGTGATAGCTTGCCAGCTAAAATGCGAGGACTCGCTACAGAGAAATAAGATTTCTTTTAGGGTGAGGCCAGTGGGCAGATTTCTTAAGGAAATTGAATAGCTCATTAACAGATGATGTAGTAAATTCAGCCACTGTTGCATACTCGTTACTTTTAAGCATTATGTGGTGAGGAGCAGGGTGTGAGGATGCAAACACTTACCTGCCTGAGGCCTCATCTGCGGCTGAGGAAATCACACAAGGGATACTATCACATTACCTCTGTGCTCTCTGGGCTAATCTCCCTGACTGACAGTGTCCCCCAGGGCTGCCAAGAGTGTAAGGGGCTGCTGTGATTTGCACGGTGAGGTCCTTCTCACGCTTTTGCGCTTTCTGGAAGCTGGGAGTGCCACCAGGCTGGAAGCATTCTCCAATGTGTGAGGGGTGGTCGTGTGTTGTGAGAGGCACCTGTAGTGTGGCAGACAACCTGAGCCGCGTTGAGAAGCAGCTTGTCCCTCTGCCCAGTCAAAGGTACAGCAAAGGCTCAAACTGCCAAATGCTAACGAGCATGCAGAGACTGCCAGCAGCTCCACACAGCAGTACCAGCAGGTCTCCAAGCAACTGCCAGGGCAGAAACAAGCCAAAGTGCGTGTGGCCTTGGTATCCACTGCCGCTCACTGTCGTTTTCTCTTCTTCACTTGTCCTTGCTCAAGTCCTCATAGGTGGATTTGTCATTCTCCCTCTTCATGC